CCGTCACTGGGGTACAGCCCCCCTCTGTCGCTGACATATTTACAGCTCGCTGTCGGACTGGAAGGCGTTATGGGGGTGATCAGGTCGGCCAGTCCGTCCCTTTTTTGCGGACATTTTTACAGCTCGCTGTCTCAGGAGGGCCGGGACTATCGATAGGGATTCCAGTCAGCCTGGTGTCTCTCTCTTCTCCCCCCCCGTCCCGCTGGGGAGCGTCACAGGAGCAGACAGACCCGAACCCCCAGATTCAGAGACAGCGGATGACTGACCTCCACCCCTGCCCCTGACTACACTCACCTACACTGTTACACCTGCAGTACTACACACACAGCTGGTTTTTCTCTCCTCACACCGCTCTGCACTGGCTTGTTTGTTGTTGCTGCTGTTGTGTGTTTGTGTTTTTGGTGATTCCTTTAATGTCTTTGCATCTGAGCACGCGTGCAAGAAAGCACCTCGTTGCGCTGAACCGAACCATCGTCGAAATGAATGTAGATGATAACTGTGCCTTTCGTGAATGTAGCTCAGAAACCACACGGCATATTATTATTATTTTTTGATTATGTCCTGTTGTCAATCTTCCAGGACCGAATAATCAGTATAATCTTCATTTTTAAAAAGCTTATCTTTATTTAACAATAAACTTCATTTTATATAGCGCCTTGAAAGGTGGCATCTCAAAGCGCTTTACTCTGTTTAAACATGCACCCCCTGACGATGTGATCGATATGCTTGTTATATGTGTACTCGTGCTCGTATTGAATTTCCTTTTGTGGTTCAGATAAAAACAAAAACAAAACCAAAACCAAAAAAAAACAAAAAACTTCTGAATCGAAAACTCTTGTAAGGAGCCCTTACGCCGAGGCGGTGTGAAAACCAGCGGTTTTATTTCAATTTTATTTAATTTCATTATCAATGAGGCAAATTAGGTTAGTTAACTTCACGGTATTTTGTTTTCCAGTTATTTGTTTGGATTTCAGCCCAACCAGACTTTGGCTCCGTGTCTTGCGATTGTTCTAGTCCTATGGGTACGGACAAAAAAACTGCCCTCTTCCTGTAATTAAACCCCGGTCGATGAGTTTAGATTTACATGATAAAATGTGAAAGGTTTTCCCTGTGCGCCCTGAAACTCGAACAAGACGTCCGTGGGCAAGTGACGAGAAACAGCTCCTGTGTCACAACAAACAGAGCGTTTGGGAGGAGGACACCCGACGTCTGTATTTAAATAGAGAAAATGACAGTTAAACGACCACAGGGGACACATTTCCTCATTCAGCCGCGCAGACACGTCTTCCTCGTCGGGAAAAGGAAGATGTCGCTCTACCCATGCTTCTTTGACAAGAAACGAGCCAAGTTTAGCTCCCAGTCCGAAAGACCACACTCCTTTCCGACTGGTGTGGACTCCTGAGACCAGTACCCACTTGTATGTCATATCTGTAATATATCCCGCAGAGTACAAACAGCGTATGAGCGCTTCAGATGTCCTGAGGTACGGTTTCAGACGCACTGCCCCCAGGAAGTCCAGAGTTGATCTTTCAGGTGTCGTGCAGATAAACTGCAGTTTCTACCGAGTCTTACAGTATGTGCATCTCCTGAACATCTCCTGCTGCCGGATCTACCGCTGTGATCATGAAGCACCTCCGGTCAGGACAGCGACTCGCCCATCTCTTCCTGTTTGAGTGAAGGGCGTGTGCGAACACAAGCTCCCGGTGGGGGGTTATTTTATCAATCTATCTTGTATGGCGTCTTTCGATTCTAGAGACACTTTACACGCATTAACCCATTGCAGGTCCAGAGCCCAGCTCCTCTGTGGTCAGTCAGTATCGGTCAGTACCGTGTCCCTGCAGGTCCAGAGCCCAGCTCCTCTGTGGTCAGTCAG